GTGAAGGACGGATACAATTCTAACCTCAGTACTTTGTTTTCACTCCGGCCAGTGTCCAAATGGTCTGAAAATGATCATACGGATCCAAGGATCTTTCACATAGTTGGTGCCAATGTTATGGGTGTAAGAGTTGCTTATGTCATAAAGAGAATTCTTAGGCACAGTTTTTCCACATCAGAGCTGAAATGCCATGATTTCATGATAAAATCACTTCATATCATTTCTGCTAACAGGAGACGTTCAGGCTCTGGTGGGAAGCAGGCTTGTATCCTCTTCTTTCTAACCTGCCCTCCTGACTTTTCCAGCTGAAGCCCCCAATCTCTCTCTCCTGTGCACATTCAGAAAGGGAGTCAGCAGTGCTGGTGCCTCCCACTTCCACCTCCATAACTTCAATCCCACCCACCAGGAACCATCCAAAGAAAAATAATCCTTAAAAAAGAAAATCGTATTAATATTTGCATAAAGCATAGCTCTTTTTATTCATCTCTGGCCATACTACGCAAAAACCTTGCACTTACTGGGCACACCCAGCTTCAAATCAAGGCACCCCTTTCCATTCAGATCGATGCTGGAGAAATTCCATTAAGAATGAAGGGCTCTTTTACTGTAGGGGAAAGGTGATGGCGGGGAGGGATATATTGGGAGTTTAAGATTAGCAGATACAAACTACTGTACGTAAAATAGATAAACAATAAGATCCCACTGCATAGCACAGGGAACTATATTCAGTATCTTGCAATAAATTATCATGGAAAAGAATATGAAAACGAATATATATGTATAACTGAATCACTTTGCTGTACAGCAGAAATGAACACAATGTTGTAAATTAACTACACTTCTACACTACTACAATTTAACTACAATTAAAAAGAAAAGAATAAAGGGCTCTGGAATAAAGGGGTAGGTGGATGAGAAAATCATGAAAGAGGAAGGTTAGATAAGTTTTTTTTGTTTGTTTGTTTGGTTTTTTTTGCCAGCCTCATTTCAGGTAGATAGTTGCTTCAGTTTCTGGCTCTGTACCTACACCCCCAGAGACAACTTGTCTCAGAGGTGATATTGAAGGGACTGGAGGAACTTCTATGACATTTTTTGAAAGTCATGACCTTTTTTGAAGCTGATCACTTCCTCCGCTTACTGGAAAACAGACCTGTTGGGCTTGGAGCCTTTACGAATACTAGCCTTTTGTTTTTCAGCAGAAATTTCTGATCAGCAAGAGAAGATAGATTTTAGACACTGCAGCCCACTTGGTGGTTCCTATTAAGCCCTGATTCATTTATAAAATAAAATGAAATCATAATAGTTACCATAAGCTTCCTTGTAATCATCTTAATGTATGTTTAATGTGACCCTTAGTTGTAAACTGAAGCTCAGTTCCCACATCAGTACTTTATTCCCCACTGCAAGAGCTCCTAACAAAACTCCTCTTTTACATTTTAACACAGCCCTGTGTTGCCTGATTATCCCCCGCTGTTCAGGGATATTAATGTCTCATAAATGTGTTGCCTCATTGTTGCCAGAGGGCTCTGAATCACAGCTTGCGCTGATGATGAAGCATCCCTGTAATGAATTAATTTATCTTAGAGCGTCTCTTTTCCTTTGAAGGCCAGGCGGGTTCTTTAGCGTCTTTACTGAATTAGATCATCTTTACCTACTGCATCTGTTATTGCTTTTGGGAAGAGACAAGTACACAGCAATACACATAGAACCATCTCAGCCTTCGAAGTATTCATTTCTCTTTCTTTCAACTCCCATTAAGTAAATATGTCTGAGCTCTTTGATAAAGATCACCATAGATCTTGGAGGACATATGCCTCTATGGATGGTTACGAATCCCCGGCCTCACTGGGTTTCTGTGAGGAGGAAATGATCTCATGTTTCCAAGCACTTCGTGGAGAATTGACACATGCAGTTTGCTCTCCGTGAACGATGGTCCCATACCTTTGGGGCTGCCAGATTTAGCAAAATAAATTTTAAAAATACAGGGTGCTGAGTTAACTTCAAATTTCAGATGCACAGTGAACATTTTTTAGTGTGAGTGTGTCCCAAATACTGCACCAGGACATCCTTACACCAAAAAGTTACTCGGTGTTCATCTGAAATTCAAAGGTAACTGGGCATCCTGTATTCTACCTGGCAACCCTCATCCCTTCCCCATCCTACTTTCTTGCTTCCAGTCCCCAGTTTTGTTCTGTTTTTCTCAATAGCAATATTGGTTGAGGAAATTGTGTAGGAAACATTAGGGAGATTTTCTTTTTTTCCTAATGAACACCTTACCTTTCTAGAATTTAGGCAGGAATTAGTTTTTTTTTTTTTAAGCATTGCAAATACAAATCCTTGTCGCAAGCACATAGTTTAGTGCCTGGCACATAATCGTGCTCAATGAATATTGATCGAATGAATGAATGAACCATTGCCTGGACAATGGATGGTTGGAATCTAAATGTGTTGAGAAATGTGGTAGTTTGATTTCAGCGAATGGGATCAATTGCCAGTAGATCAAAAGCATTACAGAGAAGAAAAACATGAATAATGACCTCACAAATACGTCCATGTCTTAATCCCCAGAACCTGTGGACATGTTGTTTTACATGGTGAAAGGGATTTTGTAGATGGCAAAAGGGACTTTACAGATGACCCTTGGTACGGATCTTGAGACGTGGAGATGCACGATCCAGGTAGGCTGAATGTAATCAGGAGGGTCCTCCTAAGAGGGGGAGGGCAGGTGGGTCAGAGTCAGAAAAGACTGTGTGACAGTGGGATGACAGAGAGAGACAGACTGGAAGATGCCACGCTGCTGGCTTTGAAGATGGAGGAGGGAACATCCAGGAGTGCAGGGTGCCCTCCAGAAACTGGAAAAGGCAAGGAGATGGACTCTCTTCCATGGGCTCTGGAGGGAAAGCAGCCCAAGGACCCGTTTTAGACTCCTGACCTCAAAGCCTCTGAGACAACAAACTTGAGGTAACTCGTTGCCACAACCTTAGAAAAATAATACAAGGGGAATATAAATAATAAACAAAGAAAGGTGTGAGCTAGGAGCCTGCCTAGCTGGGGGACGTCTGACAGAAAGATTTGTCTGGGACTAGGACCGGGAAAGCGGAGGAATGGAAATCAGCATATGAGCAGATAGAAAGGGTCAAAGAACACAGAAATTGGCAGATTCCCAAGAACTGAAGAGAATGAGTGTGTTAGTCTTCTGGGGCTGCCAGAACAAAACACCGCAGATTGGGTGGGTTAAAAAATTAATTTTCTCACAGTTCTGGAGGCTAGCAGTCCAAGGTCAAGATGGCAGCTGATCTGGTTTCCTCTGACGCCCCTCTCCTTGGCTTGCAGGTGGCCGCCTTCTCACCGTGTCCTCACTCCGTCTTTCCTCTGTGCGTGCACAGCCATCGTGTCTCTTTGTGGGTCCAAATGTCCTCTTACTAGGATGCCAGTCAGACTGGATTAGGGCCCATTCCATCCAATTCAGCACATAACAATAGGGCTGACAAATTGAGGAACAATCTGTAGAATAATCAGTTAGTGCTCCAGATTAGAGACGAAGGTGATCTATGACAATTCGGTGCAACCCAAAGCGATCCAGGACTGAATGCCAGACTGAGAAAGGACTTTAGCGGGACAGTTGGCAATCATTTGAATAAAGTCTGTAATTTGGGAAATAGTATTACATCAGTGCCTATTTCCTCGCTTTAATAATTGTGCCATGGTTATGTAAGATGTCAATGTTTGGGGAAGCTTGGGTGAAGAGTATATGGGGACTCTGTAGTATTTCTGCAACTCTGTAAAAAGTGGAATTATTTCAAAATGAAAAGTTAAAAATGAAGACAAATTAATAATTAACTAAAATAGGATAAACAAATAGAAGAGAGAGAGAATGAGAATGGAATTGGATGTGACAATGAAGGAAAAAGAGGGGAAAGGAAGCAAAGGGATACTGATTTTCATGAGGTCAGAGATTACATGTGCTGTTTCGGTTTCCAGTGACTCCCTGCTTCTGGGACAGTGCCTGGGACAGTGCCTGGGAGCTGGGGACGTAATATTCATTGAGGCACAAACTCTGAAGAGAAGGCAGTGGGCCCAAGGAACCCCACCTCACGTTCATGAGAGGGCTCAAATTTTAATCTCTGACAATGTCTCCAAAGACCGTTACACAATCAGTCTGTGTGTGTCTAAAGTGTTAATTCTTTGCATGTAAACATGTAAAATACATCGCCATCTTGGTAACTGAGTTTTGGTATCTCTTCTTTTTCTTCCCCCTCAATCCCCCCCCTTTTTTAACCTTTTTGTTCGTTTGTTTTGAGATACAATTCCCATACCATACAATTCACCATTTTAAAGTGTATTCAATGGTTTTCCGTGCAACTGTTATCACTAATTACAAAACATTTCATCACCTCAAAAAAGAACCCCGCACCCAGCGAGCAGTCACTTTACATCGCTGCCCGTCGCCCAGCCCATGATCAGCCTACTCTCGGTCCCTATGGATTTGCCTATTGTGGACATTTCACGTAAGGGGACCGTGCCTTATGCGCACCAGCCGCGTTTCAAAAGCTCAGCCCCCATGGCCACCAGTGGCCACGGGATTGGACGGCACGGGTTGGGTGTGCGCGGGGCGCCCAATCGCTCTCCAGCATCCGGAGGAGGCAGGTGCAGGTGGC